CCCCCTGCAGTGTGCTGGGTGCAGCGCAGTCACCCCTTTCCTCCCCGGCGCCCTCGTGCCCACCCCAGCGAGCCCCCAAAGCCAGATCCCTTCGGGGTAGGAGGGTAGGACCCCTCCCGGGGAGCCTGTCCCTCCTCTGACACTGCTGCTCGCTGTGCTCGTGGGCACATCACCTCCTGGCTGTGCCAGCCCCTGGCCCCGCGGGCAGGGCTGGGGGTTCTCTGTGCCCGCTGGCACCGGGGGATGCTCTCAGCCCAGGGCCCCACCACGGGAGGGACATTTCTGTTGCAGCGACTGCATTTTTGGGTCACCCGACACCGAGCATTTACCTGCGTGCTGGACAGAGGGGAAGATGCTGGTCAGACCTCTGGGAGTGTGGTCCAGGCCCCCCACACTGCTGATGGACTCCCTGCACCACTCTGCTCCTTGAAGCAGATCTCGGACCCCACTCCAGCTCACCATGACACCAGTGACCACTGGGGTGTCTCCTGGGTCTGGCTGCAATCACACAGGCATGGCTGAGCCTGAGCACCGACCACGGCTCCCCCCAGCCTCGTCAGCACCTTTGGCTGGAAAAAACATCATCTCCAGGGGCTCCTCTGCAGAGTGAAAAGGGGGAACAAGTGGAAACACAATGCCAGATCCTTCTGGGAGACAAGAAGATGGCAGACACAGCCCCACAGCAGCAAGGGACAAGGGCAGCTGGCAAAACACAGCGGAGCTTTTCTGCCACACTGCACCAAAGCTGGGGCTGGGATTTAGCACCAGCAAGGGGGAATCATAGCCCCTTTGCCATGTCCCACGTTACACCCAGGCTGTAAGAGATCTGGGGGTTATTTCCCTGCAGAGCTGCCTGATGCTTACAGCCAGGGGAATATTTATATGTCCCTGGGGTTATTACCAGCCCTAGATGCTGTTTCCCTTCTCTGCATCGCCATAAAGCAGTCCTGAGCCCTGGAATGTTTCTGGGAGAGGGCAGGGAGCAGGCTGCACATGAACTCTCCTGCACAATTCAGGCTCCAGCCTCGGGGCTATTTTTAGCAGTTCCCTCTGAGATGCTCTTCAGTTGCAGTTTTATGTGTGAAATTTAATATACGCGGGAGGGGGGATGGGAGTGGGGCTGGATCCCGGCACGTCCCTCCTGGCTGGGAGGCTTATCCCAGCCTCAGCGACAGAGTGCAACGCAAACCTAAAATCATCCGTCCAAGAGAGCTCCCGTGCCCTGGCATGGAGGTGGCAGCAGGGGACGGGAATAGCTGATGGCTCAGGGGGTTGTGGTCAGCTCTCAGCTTGACCACAGCCTCCAAAATCCTCACCTGGGTCCCTGCCCCCCCCCACGTCCCATCACGGGCTCAGAGATCTGCTGTCATCCAGCCTTGGTCCTTAGCACACACATTGGCTTGGAGCAGGATGCGTGTGAGCAGCAGGGATTTTGGGGAACACATCCAGCACAGTGGGGCTGGCCCCAGCTCCAGCCAGAGCAGCAAGGAGCAACCCAGAAGGTCCTTGTCCCACAGCCTGGGCCTGAGGAACAAAGAAGGCTGTGAGCACCATCCACCCCTGTGGCAGATCCCAGCCCAGGGAGCATCACCTGTGTGCCCTAAGCTCCCAGTTCCACAGGCTGACAGTGCTAATAAAGCAAATCCAGTTCACAGGGTACAGCACCAGGGTTGGAGTGTCCCCACTTACAGGGCATGAGTGTGTCTGCAAAGCCAGAGTAGCAGGAAAGATCACTTTCTACTCAAGGAGCCCCTGGCAGAACAAGGAAAGCGACAAAAACCTTTCTCTTTGCCACAGGACAATGAAGGGAACAGCAGCTAAGAGGGCAGAGCCCTGAGCATTTTGCAGCAGGTTGTGTTCCTGTTGGGCCAAATGTTGCTCCAGGCTCACTCCCGGCACCACAGCAGGAGGTGACCCACAGCAGGGAACACTGATCCGATCCCAGGCACATCAGGGATGCACAAAGGTACACAACAGCAAGATCAGTGACCCCAAACCAGCCTGTCACTGCTGTTACTAGACACATACACCTGCTTCTAACATAAAACCATACCTGTGCAGAGCAACATAGGTTCAGTCAGTACCTGCCCTCCACAGAGGGTGGAAGATCCCAAATCTCCAAGTGCTGCTGTGCCAAGGCTGGGCAGGGGTGAGGGAGAGTTGCTCTGCTCCAGAGCAACACTTGCCAAAACTGCTGCTTGTTCTGTTGCATTTCAGGTCATGTGAAGTACTCAGTTTGGGACTGAGTCTATAACAGAGGCTTCACATCCCAACCCATCCTGCTCAAGACAGGAACAGTGATGGCACAAAGCCCTCTGGAAAACACCAGCACCAGTGCAGAGCAACCCAAATGCATCACCGACTTGCAGGATTTCATTGTTTACTGCAGAGAAAGCAGGTGACACTACAAACAGCCCACCTGGGGCCCAGAAAGGGCTAAATGGGTGTATCCATCTTCCACTCCTAGCTGGAGGCTGCCTGTGCTGAGGTGTCCCATGCAAGCCAGGGCCCTGTCCCCACTGCCCTTCGAGGTGAGAAGAGAGCAGCAGCTGGAGGACCAAGGATGTTTGCTGCATCCTCACCCTGCAAGCCTCTAATTTGGGGGATCTCCACTGTAGAAAAGACTGGTGGAAAATGAAGATGAAACATTGCTGGTGAGTAAACAGTCTCCTTCCCACCCAATCCAGCCTTCAGTTCTGCTGCTCCCGTGGGCAGAGCCAACACCAGGGGAACCAGCTCCTTTGCCCAGCCCCAGAGAGCCACACACAGCCACAGCCTTGTGGAAATGAGTTTATTGACACGGACGGCAGGTAAAGCCTGAAGAGCAACACAACGACGCTGCGAACACTCGAGCGAGCGGAGCGGCAGGAGAGGAGGGTGGAACACCACCACCTAGCCCAGGCTCTGCCCTGTGGCAGAGACACCCACGAGCCTGAAAAGCTGGGAAGAAATTTGGCAAGAGAAGGGGGTGCTCAGCCACCTCTCCCCACGTCGAAGCTACACTCTCCTCCCTGCCCTGACACAGCATCGCATGCGGTGCCACTGGTGCTTCCTTAATTGCTCTGTTAATGATTTTTGCAGTGCACAGCTTGGAGCAAATCATCTTCCAGCACACGTGGGCAAGGCTCAAGGGCTGGATTACTCCAGCTCTGCCCCACTTTTTCCCCAGCCAGAGCACAGGAGCTCCTGCATAGGGACACCATCTTCCTCAGGGTCCTGCAGCTCCTGGGCCCTGCTAGAGTCTTCTCTCAGGGCACTGTGACCTTTTCCCAGCACTGCTTTCTTGGCTGCAGACAGTGCCAAAGCCCTGATGAATGAACTCCCACCATAAAACATTTATTGACTTTGAAAGTGGCATCTAAAAGGACAACATGGAGGTTGCTACGCGCAAGAGCTTTGCTAGCTGGGGAGGAGATGGCATCCAAGCATGCTGGGGAGGGCGAAGCCGTTCTGGATAGGGGCTTGGATTTAGCAGGGAAAAAGCAAGAGGCTTTGCTTTCACTGCTGTTGCTGCAGCACTTAGTGGTTGCAATGGGATGAGTCCACAGCCATGGACTGGAAGGGAAGCAGTCCTGGTCCTAGGGACAGGCCAGAAAAGAGGGGCCAGGGCATGGGGCTGCTCAGGGCACGGGTGAGAGCAGGAACCTGGCTGGCCCTTATCTGGGCACAAAGAGCTGAGCTGCAAATGGGAGAAATGTTGCCATGATCTGCTCAACTCAGCTCAGCTGGAAACTGAAGGCCCCAGACAGGCAGGGAGCAAACACCACCAAGCCCAAACCATCTCCCATCACACCACAGCTTGGGTTTTGGGGGACAACACAGGAACAGGGAGCACCACTCTGCTCCCCTGGCACCCTGGGACACTGCCAGCAGTGGCCCCTCTCATAGAGGCATAGCTGATGCTCTTAGCCCTGGTGGGGAGTGGCATTGCCACATCTGGATGTACCACCATGCACCTCAGGGACTGCTGGGGTCAGCACAGCCAGGTGAAGGGGACATAGCTCAGGGATGGCTGAGAAGGCAGTTTGGCCACAGCAGGCACGGAAAGAACAGGAAGAGGAGGAGCTGTAGATGAGTGAGGATGCAGAGACCATACCTTGAGCTCCAGCATGAGCCTTCTGCTCTAAGAACTGTCTTATTTCCTTCATTTCATCCACTGCTGTCCTGTTACCAATCTAGGTCTGCAGCTCCTCCCCATGCAAAAGCAGCCTCACTCCTCAAATCAGCAGCTAGTGAGCCAGGGAGATGGCTGGAGTCAAAACACACCATCAAAGCAGCAGCGAGTCTGCCAGCACAAGTGTAATAAAATCCCCTCTTAGGGCTCCACCCGCCTCCTCGGACCAAACTGATGGCTCTGTTCCTAGTTCCCCAAGGCCGTGCTCACCCTGCTAGAGCCCAATGTCCCTGCAGGGCTCCCAATACTTCCTTAGAATCACCTTCCCTTTAAGCCAATTACAATAGAAAAACTCAAAAAAATGTATAAAAATATAAAATAAAGTGCAGTGTTATGTTTTCGACACTTTTGCCTTGTTTTAATGAGCAGACGTGTGGTTTTTGCTTGGTTTTTGTTGGTTTTTTTTTTTCCAATGAGCAGTTAAGTATTTTACAAAATCGAAACTACACCTAAAGCCATTTAGAAAACACTGAACATTGGCACAAAATGGAGAAGCCCACAAGAACGGATGAGTGAGGGGAGAGGGGGACATGGGAGTAGTCGAAGCAGTGGTTACAAACTCCATGGACGCTAAAAATACCAAAGGGGTTTGCTCCCTATCATCGTTAGCACGTGGATACTAATTGCTACCTTGTTTAATCAGTGCCTTTGACTGAAATCCTACACATGAATACAGCTGCTTCCAGTTACGAGTGCTTTTCCCCGCGCTAGCGGTGAAGGAGGATCCGGGGACCCCTTTTTCCCCCCTCCTTCTGCAGGGTGAGGCACAGGCTGATCTCCTGTTAGTTTTTCAAGATGGCATCGTAGGCCTGGTAGATGTACTGGGACACTTCAGGAGCTCTGCATTTCAGGGAGAGCTGTGGGAAAGGAGAGGAGAGGTTAGTGCTGGTGCATAGGGAAGCAGGAGCTTTCTATCATCTCTACAAAGGCAGCTGGAAATGTCTGGCTTGGGTTGGACAGATCACCAATGTGGCTGATGACAGCCACCCAGAGTATTTCTCCTGGGTACTGTTTTCTTCACCACCACCAACCCCAAACTGCCCTTTCAGAGCTCACTGCAAGCAGGGGGAGATACACAAAAGAAAACCCTCGCTGTGGGGTTCCCAAATTCCTTAACAAATGTAGGTACCTCTGCAGGCACAAACAAAGGGGACATGGCCCCAAACTGAGACAAGGGACCTGCTTGCCCTCATGCTGTAAATCACAGCACTAAGCCCAAGGGCTTCTAATGATCTGCTGCTCAGTCCTGATGGACACAAACTTGGCTGTCACCTCTCTCTAAAGCAAAGATCAGGCTCAGACCATGCTTGTGGCATCAATCCTTGTGCAAACACTTTAAATCACCTCCCAACGCTCACTTTCACCCTGCAGGTCCCCAGACCATGGATTTTTCTTGAAACTCCTGGCACAGCTTCCACCAGGAGATAAATCCTTTAATACCAGGATGCTCAGACACTCAGGTCCTCAGAAGGGGAGCAAAGTCGAAGAGAAGAGCTATAGGGGTGCATGATGCAGGACAGAGAGCACATTCCCAGCAGCCACAGGCTGGTGCCAGCACGAGGCCAAAGAGCCTCTGACATCCAGACAGTCGTTCTCCGCTGCGGGAACGCGGCAGGGCATAAATTTCCCCTTGGCTGTGAGAGGGGGAAGGGCATCCTGGCAGTGTTTTCTCGCTAATATCTCTTGGCTTTATCTCTGGGTAACCTTGGCAAGTAACTGCTCATTGCTGAGCAGGCATTGTCCCAGCTCACTGGTAACAGAGCAGTGTAATTCTGTTGTTTCTCACTTGTTTCCCAGTTCAGCTGGCCTTCCTAACCCCCCAGGCAAATTAACAGGATCTCCTCCAAAACAAGCATGTTAGGCAGAGCAGGGAGAATTCAGGAGTTAGCAGGGTCCCAGCCTACACCACGTGCCCTCCACGTCCTACACCTCACCGTGTAGTTTGGGTTCCCTGGCTGAATGCGAAGCTCAGCCAAGATCCAGATGCCATTGGTGAGCTTCAGAGACTGGTAGAGCATGTCCTGGCCCTCCACATTCCTCTTGGCAATGGTGTAGACATTGTTGTTCTGCAGTTTGCTGGAGACAGTGTCTTTGGAGAGAAGGGAAGAAAAACATATCTGTTAATTCAGATTCATCATATGTGGAGACAGGAGAGCCTAGAAGGAGCATTCCCATGATGCAAGTGCACAAGGAAACACTGACTTGTTCCCTGGGATAGGAGCAGACATGACACAAGGAAGAAAAGATTCCAATTTGCTTCATGAACCCACCTCATTCCTTTCAGGCAGTGATCCCTTGTTAAGGATTTGCCCATCTTGCAGGGCTTTTGCTTACTGCTCTGGGTCACTCAGGAATCACTGCCTTGATCAAGGTGAGGCTATCAAGGCAGCTCAGAGGGTAAGAGGACTCTGCTTTATTCAAAATCCCCAACCAGCTGCAGGCAGGCTAACCTGGAGGCAGCTAAGTCAGAAGATGAAGGTGGAAAAGAACAAAGATCGAGGCTCACTGAGCTTCTGAGGTCCTGCCCCAACCATGACAGCTCCCTCCTGCTTCCCTCACACACAGACACTTCTGGCCAGACCAACGTTCCACAGGGCAGTAAAAAATCCTTTTTTTTCCTCTTGTAAAGCAATCACTTGAAAGGGTAAAAACCCACAGACATCTGTCTCTAGACATCATAGGGCTGTGTTACAGTTTTAACACACAGCCTGACCTCAGCCCTCGCTGATGATGTGTGATTTAACCTGCAGACCTGTATGGATGTCATCATGACACAGATTATTTCAGAAGGACCTTTCAAAGAAACCAGAGCAGAGGCAAATATGCAGAACACAACAACCCAAACCAGCAGCCTCTGGGTGCCAAAGGGTTTCCCAGCACAAAGCCCAGCAAACCTCAGTCTGGATGCCAGTAAAGGAGCACATTTACACTTTGGGAGGAAGACTCCACACCTGAGAAGCATCATTGGCAAATCCCCATTCCTGGTGTCCAGCAGGAGAAATTTAACTCTCTGCCTGGACAGGTGGAACACCTTGTCTATGCTGGGCCATTATCAGGAGGTTGGGCACTTCTGACAAAAAAAACCAAAAAAATAGGGAGAGGGGCAGTCTTAAACCACCTTGCACTGGAAGCCCAGAGACTGGAAACATTGGATCATTCTCAAGGAGTACAGGGAGCAGGACAGCAGCAGAGAAGCAGCACAAAGTGATTATGCAGCTGTAATCCATCCATGCACCTACTAACACCAAGATCTGCTGACACTGGATTTGAGAATGGACACAAGCCTGTGCTGGCACACAGAGGGATTCGAGAGGGGATAGCAGAGTTTGTTCATGCACCAGGGAATGGTAGAAGGAGAAAAGAAAGAGACTCAAATCCATACCCTGATGCAGAGACCTGGATCCACTACCTCTCCCCAGTAACCAGAGCTGTGGAGCAGCTCCACAGGCAGCTTGGACCCTTCACTGAACCCCTTTGCTCCCCAGGCTTCAGGGTGGTTGCATGCAGGTCCAGGAGGGTTCAGGCATCCAGCTACCCAGACACACTCAGATTTAGGTTTCCTCTCTTCCCCAGTTACTATGGAAACTGGCAGATATAAGTAACTAATGAGATCTTTTGCTTAAAACCCCTCTGTCTCCTCCTCCCACCTATACTCCTCCTCTACACAACAAACTCATCCAGACTAGGAAACTGGAAATGCAGAGCAGTTTCCCTGCTCACAGGGAGTGTGGCTGGGAGAGCTACACGCTGCAGGGACATCATCCACTGGGGATGAAGCCCAAATTCCTACCTCCTCATGCTCTTAGCCAGCGAGAGCAGCCTCGAAGCTCTGTGAAGGCAACTCACGCACCAGCTCAGAGAGCACATTCTTGTCTGACAGGGATGTTGGTATCAAATGTGATTTTTTTTTTTTGCCCAGTTTTGACAAGCTGTGGCTAAACCTCACCCCTCTGGACACATATCCTGGAAGTGAAACTGCTGGCAAGGGTTCAAGACTGGAGAATGGAAGCAATCCTTACACCTGCCACAGCAGTCTCCCCTCTGCTGGGGGATGCAGACAGAGTAAAGGCATTCCATGGGTAGCAGGGATGCAAGGGCTGGAAGTACAGCTGCAAGCAAGAAGCTGTAATTTTGGCAGCTGTGAGGCTGCTACCCCTTCACAAGGTGTGATGGCAGAGGAGGGGAGTTGTGCTCTGGGAGCACAGCAGGTGAGATGGGGCTGCAGAGCAGCTACTCTTATGCCAAAGACTTCGTGTGTGGCTCCTCTTGCAATTTAAACATCCACAGCTTCTCCTGAGAGGCAAATTTCTGAGCTGGAACATGCTTGTAGGGGAATACAGAGAGGGAAATTGAGGCAGGGCAACTCCTAATAAACCCCATTTCTTGCTTCCCTGTCTGACCTCAGTTACCCTCTGAAGAGGGAAAAAAGCCCTACCAAACTCTGCCCTGCCCAAGCCAGACACCCAGAGCAATGGTGAGCAGGCTGGAGTGCTGATGCTTGGCTTGCTCAACTTGTCCTGCCCCCTCTCTCAGCACAGATTTGGGGACTGGTGAGAGCTGACCTCCTCTTCCCCCGGGTAGTAGATCCCATCCCTCCTGTGCTCTGGAGTATCAAGAATTTGGATTTTGGAGACCGTCAGAGTTGCTAAGCAACAGTGCCAGGCTGTGCCTGGTTGAAGGCAGGACCACTAATGCCATGTGACAGCACAGCCTTTAAAATAAAGTAATAAACCCAGGCAGATATTGCTGGGAGCAGAGAGCTGAGCCCAGCCCCGCAGAGCCGGAGCACAGCACCCACTGGGGCACTGGTCAGAGCCCTGAGAGGCAGCAGGAGAGCTGAGAGTGCTGCCCAGCACACACCTCCCCACACACCCAGGGTCTGGTGACTTTGCAAACCAGAGCACACAAGTCCTTTGGCAAGACAGCAGAGTCTACACCTGACCTTGTGCAGTAACTTTCCGCACAGCTTTTGGTTTTGGCTTAAGGCTTATTCTCACAACCCTCTCAAAGCACAATGTAAGGAGAAAGGGAGATTTGCTCATCACCAAGGCCAGGGAAGCTTCTGACATTAGTTCATCTTTCAGAGTTAGTTTTTCTTATTTATTTCTGAGGTTTTTTTCTTTGTTTTCCTTTTCTTTCGCTTTTAAACCAGAATTCTCCACCTCAGCCCAACAACTAAATAGTACACGTGGAAACACAAGTACACAGGAAGAACAGCTGCACAAGGTCTTCTCCCTTGCACTGAAGTAATCCAATGCTTTTTAACAGCACTTTCCTTCTAGAGAAAGCAAAGAACATGCCTAAATCTTCCACCGATCAACTTAAGAACTTCATTTCCAAACTCAAACAGCCAAGATGACCAACTAGCAACAACAGGAATTTTCATGAAGGACATGCACAACTCAAAGCCAACATCAACAATACACCTTCTCTGAACTTTGTGGCATATTGCACCAAGCACTAGATATCAGAAAGTATAATTTAATTACTGTATTTCATGCTGTGGTAGCTGAAAACATCCCCATGCCATTTCTAGCAATACCTGAATGGTTCTGGGCATCCAGTCAAGAGCTGTTCTCAAATACCAAACACAGACTCCGATCCAGTGGGGAGGCACTTTGGGTAATATTATGACAGTACATTCATTTCCAACACATGTAATATGCACCAGTTTTGTAATTTGTTAAACTATCAGGTACTAGATTTGCACATACAGTAAAAAACAACACACCAGGGAAGCTTGTTTATGACTGTCCCCCAGGTTGTTCCATCAAAAAATCCAATTTCTCTTTGTCATGGCATTAGCAAATTACTCAGGAAGAAAAAACAAAGTGACCACTACATTACCAATAAAGCCACATTCAAATCCAAACACAAAAGCTGCTTCTCACACCAAATTGTGGACAAGTAATAAGCAAGGAAAATCAAAGTTCCTAGAACTGCTGAACAGCACAGCAACTAATTGCCTCCCATTTAATGGCAATCTCCATGTGCAAGTCAGCTTGTCCTCTTGCACTCTGTGGGTCTGGGTAAGCAGAATTTAAAACAAACAAACAACATTGAGCTAACCTGGTTTGCATATCTTAATACAGTGATCCTTTCAAATTCAGTTGCACTTAGCATGTTGAAAAAACAGTGTAAACTAGTCAAACTGAGCTTTAGCACACACTCAGTTACAGGGGAAACCTCAGCTGGTGTAAATGGCACCAACAGCACCCAGATTACTTAAGCTATAACAGTCTAGGAATCTATTTTCATGCACTACATTCCTGTATTTTCAATAAAACCCCCCAAAATCAATTAATTTAGCACTGGTTTCATCAGAGATGAGAATGCTGGGCTATAACCATGACCTTGTGTTTTCATTACTTCTGAATAAGGTTTTCTCCATGGAAGTTTCCTCACCTCTTCCAAAGAGGCAGATGCATGAAACAGCTCTAATGACTTTAAGATGTGCTGTGCATCCTAAGCACACCTTGGCCCCACGACACAGCTCCAGAAAGACTTGTTCCTCCATGTCCATGGAGCTCCAGCCCTCATGACAGCCACAGGCCAGTGCCAGCCCTCACTACTGGGAAGCTGAGCCCTAAATCCAGAACTTGTCTTTCTCTGAGTCACTGGGAACGGTGGGAATACCTTCAAAGGCCCAGGATCTGCTTTACTGGAAACAAAGATGCTGGAGATATGGATAAGAGTGGCCAGCTCTGACCATTTAAAGACACCTACTCCTCATCCCACAGCATGGCACCTTATCCTCAGCATCAGCCTGCTGTGCTGTGGGCTACCTGCAGCAGCCAAGATTTTCTGGTGGTTCTGTGTGCTGTTTTGGGGTGAGCTGCCAGGGACAGGAGCTTTTTCTGCCATCCCTGTTGCAAGCCATCAAAGCTCAAATCAATCCTATTTGGCTTGCCTTGTGGGCACAGGATGGATCTTTTACCTACAAAGGTCTGGGAGCACAGACTCTCACAGAAGCATCTCCACTGCCTGACTGTGTTTATCTCCTTTTTGTCTGAAGGAAGAAAAACAATAACCTGGGCAAAAATCTGCAGTTTGCACGGGAGGTGCTGTAAGGTGGCTGTTGCACAGTGACAGACAGCCCTGAATGTACAAGAAACGCACAAGCTGCTTTCTTGACAGCTAAAAATCGCAGCCCTCTACAAATCCCCGTTCCAAGCCTAGCTCACTTTGGTTCAGAGAAATTCAAATTTCAGTTTCTCCATTGAAGAAAAGCAGCATCCACTGTTAGCTGCCTCGGGGCCTCCTGCACATCCACACAGAACTTCACCCTGCTTCTCACACAGTGCAGCAACAGCACAGATGTGAGCACTCAGGAAAGCAAAGGCTGTTTGCAGCTGGGAGAAGGACAAGCAGGTAGTGAGGGGTGCAGGGACCACAGTGCTGATCAGCCTCTGCCTGGCAGCAGCTGCATGTCTCGGCACACTGCGCTCCACCCGACGCCTGCCGCAGCCACGTGGCTCCGAGTGGCTGTGGAGCTGCGTTAGGGCACATCAGCTGGGAGCAGAGGTATTTTTAGCTCGCAATTCATTCACGTCACTGGGCTGGAATCGGTGAGACTGAAGTATGAATGGTGTGGTGAGTCCCTGAGCACTCCCCAGCGAGTGGGTGGGCTCAGGCTAGGCATGAATTACTGATCTGAGGAGGGCTGAGGACTCACGCGGCGGCTGCACACCTCTGCGGAGCCAGCGGTGCTCACCAGCCTGAAGGGCTGCACTAACCCAGTGTCTCCTCGGGTTCAGTGAAGAGCTGCTGGAATCTGCAGCAGAGAGATTTGTGCAGCTCTGCCATGTGGTCACGACGAACCTTATTCTGTGCACACTGTGGTGTGTCATGAGTGAACTCCAGAGCCACCAACAGCCCAAGCCCAGAGCTTTCTTGTGGTTAGGCATCTCCTACAGGAGAGTCTTTGGAACATGAACCAGTCTTTCCTCCAAAAGGATCAAGTTCCTAAAGGTTTTATATTGAGAGCTGCTGTTCTTGGAAGAAAGGAGGTGTCTTAAAACAAGGCTATTTTCACTGGATTTAAATGATCAAGACTGTGAATCTTGAAAGATTATCACCCTCCTGTGGCACGTGGCCAGACACACACTCTTCTCTGGTGCAAACCAGTACCAAGATGGATTCAACTGCTGTCAGAGCTCATCCAACTCGCTCTGCTTCTGCACTGGTATTCATCACCAGCCACTTGCCATGCTGTGAGACACCTCCATTCCTGAGGATGTTGGAAGCCCAGCCCTCCATGGGGTTTGGCTGATCCTTGTACAGGCAAGGCTTGATGCTCTTAGGATGGTCTGAACTGGAGAAGGTTACTGCTTCGATGATATCAAGGTGAGCAGACTGAGTCAGGATTGCAGTGGTAGATAAAATACAAGGAACTAAGACAAGCAAACAACATTTCCCTAGTTTTCTCTCCCACAAGCCATTGGCCTGCTCCATGCTGAAGCCCATGTGGTCAAGGAAGGAAAGGTCCAGGATAGTTGCAAGAGGGAGGACGTGTCAGCAGTGGAAACACAAACCCAGAAGCTTCTGTGGATGGAAGTGCTGGAAATCTGTTTATGAGACGTGACCCACTTTCTGCCATGCCTAAGCCAAGGAGGCTGGCAGATCCTGCACACCCTGAGCATCCCAAGTGATGGATCACACTCAGGAGAGGCACGGCTGCCAGGCTCTTCCTGCCAGAGCCCTGGCAATGGCTGCAGATCCCACTGCAGAGAAACAGGCATTCCCAGGCTCTCCCTGCGAGTTGGGAACATGTTCTCCTCTGAGTATCACCAGTCCAGGCAGGCTTGGGCGAGCAGGATGTCCTGAGCTGGCAAACCCTCCCGGAATGAGGAGCATTCTGTCACTCCACATTTTGTAACGTGTTCTTCCGGAGGGAGGAGGGGACAGGCCAAGCTGCAGGATCACCAGTGCTCATCTTGCCAGCCACACCCCCCCCCCTCTCCCTCCCAACCACATCCCCCTGCTAACCAGCACCCCAACACCAAACATGAGAAGCTTCCAGCATTTCTGACTGGAAATAAAGAGCTCTGGATGCAGTTAGGACATGTCCAGGGCAGAAGGCACTACCAACAGCAGCTCTGCAGTGCAGGGGGAGAGGCTATGCCAAGCTCAGTGGAGAGCAGAGGGAGGGCTGGGGGAGGCACAGAGGTCGTTCTGATATGAAACCCCACAGTGAAATCAAGTCATAAGGTCCAACAGCTGCTATTTTTTTCCTCCCTCTTATGTGCTCCATCTTTTATATTCCAAAATAGTAATAATTATGAGTACAAAGAGACCTATGGTTTCTGTCTGCAATTGAAGCATGAGGGTGTTCATTGTGTAATAGCAGGCATGAGAGAATAAAAAAGGTTACAGGGTTGCTAATCAATAGGGACACTTCTTTCATCTGTGAACACAGCAGCTTTTGGTAGAATCACTTGGCTCCTGCCCAGAACCTCCTGAACAGGAGCAAAGCTGCTACGCTGGCCACGTTCCACTTTTTACGCTCTGTCATCCTTCAGCAGTTGTAAGGTCATACGTGCAAATAGGATCCTCACAGATGCAACTAGATGGGCTAACCAGAGTGAACAGAACCAAGAATGATCAAAATGCATCAATATCTCAGCTAACAACAGCAGATCAAAGCTCTTCTCACAAGGCCTGTCCTCCACAGACATCACAATGTCTTCTAGTGTATATTGGGTTACTCTTTCACAACAGAAAGAAGAAAGCAGCTGCCAAAAAGTGAAGTGACTGGCCCAGGATGATGCAGTAGTCAGGGCTGGAACACCTTGTCCGAAACTCAGAGCAGCAGGACAGGATTGCTGAACAGCCTCAATACCCTATTCAGCTCCATTTAAAGAGCAGCCTTGCAGGGAAGCAAAGTATAAAAGAGAAAACAAGAATACAGGGTCCAGAATGAAAGGAAGAAACAGATCTGTAAAATCAAAGACCTGGGATTTTAGATGTGCTTTTATGGGGACCCAGATGAAGTTTTTGACTGAAACAAGCCCTAGGATCCCAGGCTGATCTGTTCATAAGCCAAGGCTGTTCTGTTCATAGGTGCAATACTCATCTCTTCATTAGCCATAAGGTTATTTTAACAAGGTGATATCAATAAGGTGACATTTAGTGGCCATACATCAAAAGTGCTCTCAGTGTGGTAGAACTAAGCTACTCACCAGCATTCAGGTGACAGTCTTTAATCTGGAACTGAAGCTCATTTTCATTTGGAATATCCTTCCATGTTGCAAGGAAGACCTGGCGCTCTAGAAACAGGAAAGATCATCAGCACCGTGGGGTCCTCACTGGACTGCAGCATTAATTAATGCACCACAGAATGTTTCAAGGCAGATACACAAAAGAGCTTTTGGTCATGTTTTGCCCTGTCATGGATAGATCCAGGATTTGCTCTTGTAACAACCTCATCCTCACTGTAAAAGCAGCAAAGCTTTGATGGATTTTGGAACCCCCAAAACCAGAGAAAGTCTTTACCATATGAGCTGTTTACAAGCCAAGAACAAGCAGGATTTGACAAGAACAAAGGAGATCCACACATTTAGGATTATGTTAGTGAAAGCTGCTTTTCAAGCAACTTCCCAGCCAATTCAAACAATAGTTTAATAAAGGTGACCAGAATACAGAAATTACAGTGAGAGTGGTATGGAGGCAAATCCTAGACCCATTTGAGTCAAACCCTCAAATAAAACCCCTCCCAAACCCACAACACCACAAATCCAAACAAATATCCAAAGAAATAAACTTCAAAGAAAACAGATCCAACCCTTGTCTGGCAGAGAGAATAACAGCAGAAGGACTTGGATTCTGGCAACTACTGGAGTTGGAGGACAACAGGGACAAGGTACCCAACCAGATCAGTTCACACTGCTGAGATGCACCGGCACAAAGGCCATGGCCAAGCACAAGTGAATCTCAGCCATGAGCCAACTGTACCCAGCTGGGCAAGGCGAGCACAGTCTGCCTGGAGGAGGCCTGAAAGGCCTAAAAGCACTCACCCATTTTGCCATCCTCTACGAAAAGCACATTGAGAGGAATTAGGCAGCTGAAGTAAAAGACATCAATGTTGTTTTTCACAGCCACCTGTTACAGAAGAAAGAGGGAGGTTAAAGGGTCTCTATCAGTTGGAAGTCCAAAAGGATGCCAAGATTTCACACAGTCTCATCACCCACCTGCACACCCTGGAGTGCTCTCTCTGAGCAAAGGTCAGCTACAAATGTGAGACTCCCTGGAGGGATGTTACTGAGCTTCTGGGTAGTTTCAGACAAGGACCAGTCCCACCCCTCTGTGCTCACTCCATTTTCACTAAAAGCTGCTCAATCTTCTCCTGTGAGCCTTTCACCATGCTGCTTCAGAGCCAATTGCACTGATGGGCTCACAGCAGTATCCTTGCTCTTTCCTGCTCTTCTTCAGCCTCTCCCTTCTTACACCTCTGAGGTACATTCATACCTCTCGGATGCACACAGCTCCTGTCATGTCTATCATGTTATACATCAGCTTCTTCAATAGTCCTCTGCCATCTCACTCTTGTAATTCCCCAGCTCCAAACAAACCCCTGTATATTCTTCACCTTCATTTCCTCATTTTTCACACCCTTGATTAGTCCTGTCTCAGTGCAGACATTTTCTAGAAAGCCTCAAGTGGGTCCATTGCTTGCATCTTCCTTGTAGCATCTCCCAAGTCTCCTACCTTTACCTTAGTGAAAGCTATTCAGGGGGAATACCCTGCCAGGTGTTGATTCCTGGAAGAAAGCCCTGCCACAGAGCAATCAGGGCAGGTAATAAAAGATCACATGAGAAAAGACTTAATTCTCAGTGTCATTAAACTCTGCCAGTCAGGGAGATGCACTTTTATCACACACAGTTGCCACATAACCACTAACAGAGAGCAACCTCTCTTTCAGTTTTCCCCAGGCTGAGAGCTGATGGCACAAGCAGGAGCAAACTGGAGGTCTGAGAAGTGCACTGTCATAATATAGCACAGAAAAAAGGCAGCTCTGGGCTTTATTTCTATGCCTCTCACGCTCTCCTCACATCAGCCCGCACAGCGATTGCCTGTCATGGGAGCACAGTTCAGCTGACACCTGCCATGGCTTGCAATGAAGGAATCTTAAGCCTCTAAGAGACCTAGAATTGAGTGTGGGGAAATTCAGGAGCCATTTGAGCTCCTACTTCCTTTGAAAAAAAACCCAGGAGGAGCTCTCCAATTTGTCACCCAGCTGAAACACAAACCAGACCATGTTAAATGCTGAGCCAAAGCAATAAATTTGCTGCCACAAAGATTTATGCCAAGAAAAACTCCACTGCCATTAATAATTACATATATTAGTGTCCTGCTGAGAAAAATCTATTGTCCCATAGTGGCAAGTTTAGAAAGACACCCCCAAATGTTGGTGAAAAACAGCTGTGGATAGACAAGGGAGGGGAATAAACCAGGGAACTCACATATCAGCTGATTAGACATGCAAGCCAGAGGACAAGTGGAAGGAGACAAAGCTCCCAAACAAACTCTTCTAGCAACTGGGAAGGTCCCAGAAGTGCACAGAGCTGCAGAAAGGTAGATGTGACAATCTGTGGTGTTTCTACTTTCAGCCATCACTAAAGGTAGCAGCTTACATTTAATGCTCACAGTGCAAACCAGCTTAAGAAGGGATTAGTTTAAAGCCCACTAAAACCACGTAAATGATGGTGCAACTGAGGAAAAGATGGAAATGGTTCTCTGTACCAGGGAGCTGTTACGTGCTTTGATTGCTGGCGTCATGCTCACGAGTTGGAGTGTTTAGGGTTTGAGCTAAAGGCACCAAAGCCAAGGGGTAAATGCTGATTGGTGGGTGGACTTAAGTGATTCACCTCTGCGAAATGTGATTGAACAGACTGTGTGAGTAGCCAAAAATGCACCTCCAAGAGGAGAACTGGGGGAGGGACAGCAGTGTAGCCATTCCAGATGCTATGCTTGGATATAAGGCATGGAGATGAGCCAGGAGAGGGAAAATTTAGGCTAAATGTCTGGGAAAACTGATAGTGAGAATTAATAAGCAGCACAAAATTCCTCTGAGGAAGAGAGACGCTCCAGTGCTTGGAGTACTTAAAATCAGCCTTGACAATGCTCTCAATAAGAGGAACTGTAAAAAAACACAACAAAGCATAGCAGGGACTACACTGCCTGACACAAGATCTTTTTCAACTCAGATTTAATGATTAATTGCCTTAGAACAAGAGAGATTACTTAGCTTTAGTAGCTAATTGTTGTTGCCATACAACAGCAGTTTCTTACAAGAGGGGCTGGAAAGCAATGCCTTCTCTCCAGTCATGGTTCTAGAGGCACACTCCAAATTAATATGCTAACCCTGTCCCTGCAGTTATAAGGTTGCTATAAAAAGGTATCTGCTGACCTGCTTCTCAACTCTGCAGAAACACACTGAGTAAGCTGCTTTGGCTATACTCTGGAGAGATACCCAATTAAGAGGCTCTGAAGTGCAATTTCTTCCCAGCAAAGGAAAAGCAAGCCACATGTCAGTTTTCCTTCCAAACTGCATCACTGGGTTCAGTAATGACATCATATGTCACCTTGCAAGTATCTGTACTGATGAAGTAACCAGCTGTTACAAATAACTTCCACCAACAGGAAAGGAAAAAGCTATGTTCTCCTTAAACCTACAGCACTAGGACACAACTGGCAAGCTGTTCAAGACAAACTTCTATCGCTCAACACCACATACTTCCCCTGAAAGGCCAAGCACACACTGTTACCACTGTGGTCCACAAGATCTGGTCCACAAAAAGGTACCTGCAGATACCTGGATGGGGACACTCACACCAAGAAGAGGCTAAGAGGCCCTACCAGTCAATAACAGCTTTTCAAAGTCATGCTCCCACCTTTGCACTGCCACAGCTGGAGCATCCAATGCCATCTGACAGGCTACAAAAGCAAGCACAGGCAGAAAGCAGACCCACAGCAGAGTCTGCAAGAAACTGAGTAGCTAATAACAGCGACTTGCAAAAAAAAAATCCAGTGTTCCTCAGATGGGAACATCAGCCTGAGACAGGCAATGACATTTAAGTGATACCAACAGCTGAGAAGTCTCTCCCAGTCTGACATGCTTGAAATGAACCTCTACTTGGATTCAATAAATCCTCCAGTCCAGCCTAACTTTGCTCATGGCTCTGCAGCTTTACCCTGCTGACCTGGACATGAACCATTAAATCTTTAGCTAGACCTTCAGCTTCAGCCATTTCAGAGTTGAAACAGAAGCATTTCTATCAAATAGCTTTCCATCTGCAATCTTTTTGAGAGGAAAAAAATATTAGTACCTTGTGCATTTAGTCAAACAGCCTCCAAAGCTCCGAGGGATAAAAGTCAAAAGGTGACAGATTTGTGTGTGATGCCTCACTGATGAAAAGGTGTGAGTCCTCTAAAAATGGGCACAGGGTTTCAAATCACTTATGTCTTGTTCGTGATCTGACTAGAGGAAGCAGCACCTCTAGAAATAACCCCTGGAACATATTTGCTCACCTTGAAGCATGAGCATCCTTCTGCTGTCCTTTCTTGCAGTGCAACCCTCTGATAGCCAACACATGGGATTTGGGGAAAGTGGTACCTCATTAGAACAATGCTAAGTTATTTTCTTCAACAGTGTAGTTTTCCGATGCCTTAAATCCCAGACTTGAGCATAACAACTGACTTTCAAAGTCAAGTCTGAAAGCAACACAGATGCTTTCCATCAGCAGCAAGTACACAACATACCCACTTGGAATCCCATTAGCACCTACACTAAATTAAGGATTTACTTCAAGTTGGGTTTTGCATTAGAGCCTGGTAACAGCCAAACTGTTAAGGCAAGAACAAGTCTCCTCTGCAGAGTCTTTTTTACCTCTGCCAGCACAAGGTCATGGTTTGTTCTGTGTCAGTCTGCAGCTCTGCCTGTCACATGCCCCCAGGGAATGCTGCTCCTTCACTTCATTTTGTGAGACAGGTAGGGATCTCAGGATCCTACAAGGCACTTGACAGCCACTGCCAGTCAAATGCTCTACCTACAGGCCAGAGCTGAGCACAGACAGTGAGCTTGGGGTACATCACTGGCCAGGGAACAGGGAGTTACTGGGAGTGTTATGCTCTCGTGTCTGCCTGGCTGTACTTAAAGTTCAAAATGTACATTTTATCAAATGTGCTGTACCATGTGGCAGACCTGCCCTTAACCAGCAAACCAACAGCTTTCCGCAGCCAAGCGAGGAACTGGCTGCAGATGCCAAGCTGTGATCCAAGTCCTTAATTCAGGGAGCTCCCAGGAGGATTCTTTGCTGAAATAAGACTTCCACGAGCAGAGACTGTTAAAAAATAACCTAGGCAACAAACCCAAGAAAGCACCTTCCCCATCTAGCTACTCAAGGCTGTTCTGTGGTGGCTGGCCAATAATTCTGACACAGCTCACACATGAGAGGATATTGCATCAAGCAGGCTCTGAAGGGCAAACATCTGCTGGCTGGACATGCCAATTCTCAGCCTTGTTTTAATGGAGAGCTGAATGTGTGAAATCTGTTTCCAAGTACTGAGCTCTCTGTGTTTGTGACCTGAGATACATTAACAGTTCTGATGAATGAGAGCTCCAGCAGTTCTGCACTGGGAGAGCTGAGGTGTGGAGGAGCACAGGTGATGAGTTACAGCAGAACTGAGTGTGGAAGGATAACAATGATCTACTGCATTAGCAAGATCGATTTTTTCCTCAATGAAGAGGCTGTACCTTTCCCTGCCTTTACAGAAATGTTCTGCCAAACTCATGGGAAGAAAGAAAAATGTCCTACACCTGACACTGCCCAGGAGCAAGGGAGAGGTCTGTGTTTCCAAGTGTCAGTTTTCAGGAAGAAATGGAGCTGATAGACACTACCCTTTCCATACTCATGAGATCATTTTACAGGCATTTTGGAAGACTGAAGTTATGCTTCTTTCAGTTGCATGCTCAGTAGCTGCAACAAGCAGTGCTGGCAGCTGACAGCAGGTAACACTGGGGAATGCAGCAAACTGATTGCCAGTTTTGAACATGGATCCCAAGAGAGTAGCTGCAGCCTCAGGCAGACTGGCTACTGCTCTGGGACTCCCTGCAGCTTATTTTAGATTGTATTGTGTCCTGCAAGTGGTTACCATCTCACTGAAGAGATGGTTATATTCATGCCATGACAGGTCAGCCCTGAGATCCAAAACTCTGGCAGCCTGTTGGCTCCACTTCACCCACTTCCAGGGTGAGGGGAGCAATTCTCCTGAATCCAAATGGGTACTTCGATTTCACAGCATTTCATAGCCTTAAAAGGCCATTTATTAGGAACAGTAGTGCCCTTTAGCATAGAAAAGCTCTCATTCCAGGCATTTTCTAACTTCAAATTTGACTTGAAGTATCTGAAAAGAGTTAATACTCCTCACCAATGCAAATCCCTATTTCAGAACCCACTCTCCTCTTTGAGAGCTGAAGGTGTGTCCAGACTAACTTTGCTTTAGCCTTTGATTAAATCTCTGCTGGACTGAGGGTTAAATCTGAGTCAACAGGTGAAGAAAATATCAGCACTGCTTTGGGATGCGAGGGAAAAGCCTGGAACTCAGTATCACAAGATGCAAGGTGACTAACAAACAGAAGACTCTTCAGTTACATTTTACCTAAGTAATCCTCTGGAAATATTTCAGTCATCTTTCTCACCTTCTTGTAAAAACTGCTTTTTTGTTACCTTATCAAATATTTCAGTTTTTTTCCACGATTACAAATGTGAAGATTAAATGAGCTGTATTGGGTGAAAGATTAGAAATGGTAATAAAAATAACCTGAACAAGACCTGAATTCATTACTTCTGAAACAGTTGCCTAAGGAATGCACAACTAGTCTTTGAAGTTTCTAATTAACATGACAAGAAGTTGAAATCTATCAGTTTGGTTACTCCAGGACTTATTTTTCTTGTTACTAAAACAAAAAACCCCCATCAGAATAGAAGATGAACATAAGGTCCTCAAGGTTCAAACCAGCCCTGCATCTGTTTCAATGTTCCCCAGCTCAGAAAAAACACATTAAGCAAATGCAACTTGATGAGTGTTTTGGTTCTTCAATGAATACAGGAACATTTGTATTCTCTACTCCTATATTATGCTATAAATTGTTCCCTAAGTAGGTCACCAAAATGATTTCTGAATGTTTCAAGACAAACCCTTTCTACATGAACTCACAACACAAAACCAGAACCTTGGCTGTCAGGGCAATGACAGCTCTCCATCAAACCCACTGCTGTCAAAAAAGAAAGGGGAGTGCTCTTTTTAACTTGGCATCTGCTACCATGATTCAACTCTTTGCAGAGAAATATACTATTACTCCATATGGCAGCTTCCCCAATTGTAAAAGGGCAGCCAACTTCTATGGCAATGAGAGCACTAGCAAATTAGCAACTGAGTCTAGCACTAATGAATGCTCTGCTGTCTCAATAGAAGGTAGCTGGAGGTTTCCTCACATGTTTTCCCTTTGCTTTGTTCTAGCAGAAGATGCTACAAGAAACTGTGTACTGAATCCTATAGAGATTTAATAACCCAAATACTTCACTTTCTTCCTGATCAAAGAAAGCAGCAACTTGAGACTGTCTTGTTGAGAGAGTCCCCAGTGTTATGGAGGCTGATTGGGACTGTCACCTCCTAGAGACTTCCAAATTTCCTTCAGAGCAGGAGGTAGATTTTACCAGAGCTGACCCAAATGCAATGATGGAACCTCATCCTCATGACCTGGCTGCAGAGGGAATCCAGCTTTTCCAGAGGTTGGAAGGGCCCTCTGTGGAAGGACATGCAATTCATTCACTCTCTGTGTGCTCCTCCGTTGCATGACTGTGCTTAGAGCCAGAGTGTAGGACTGCTCGTTTGAGTGCCACAAAGCTATTTCAAGCTGTTTGCCCAAAGACTCATCAATAACTCATAAGGCCCAGAATGGAAGTCAAAAGAAGGAAAAAAACCAGTTGCTCGGGCAGAATAAATAGTAACTTCCATTGCATTCTCTTCATCTAAAAAGAGAATGAGCTGCTTCAAAATATTTCCCTCTATGGGCTGCTACGCTACAGGAACCCAACCCAGTTCCATCTCCTGGAGACTTGAGGCAAGTGAGACATTCTACAGTGCATCTTTGGGATACTGGGAAAATCAGCCTGGAGGACCCAGCTACGCAGAGCAGGGGCAGGAGTCACTGAGCTCTGCTCCACATAGTGGCTGCACATGGCAGCAGTGGGGAGAGACTCCTTCCAGGGTGAACTGTCTGCCTGATGAGTTCCAGATCACTGTCCCTGAGGCATGCCAGAATCAGTGGAGACAGACTCTGGTCCAAACCAGAGGGGAATATCTCCCTGGGTCTGTCCTGTCTTTATCAGATTGACAGCCCAATCTGATAAAGAGCCTCCTCTGGAGAATGCTGTCCCCACCATGTACCAACACTCATTAATGAAACATTAGCTGCTCACGTCATTTCTCCTCTCCCTTTCCTGGAACACATCATTTGCCTTGGATTAAGCTATCTGGGGCAAGGATGTGCCAATGCCTTTGTAACACACTCTGGAACTTAAGAGCACTAGAGAAATATTAATCACTCAGCAGTTGCCATCTTTCCTGCCATTCTTTTAATCGACTCAATTCTTGCTGACAGCTCTCACTGTCTGCTCCACCACAGGCACTTTCTGTGTTCAGACCAGCTCCTGTTCCTAAGTACAACCAAACCTCGTGCCCAGTTTACAGAAGAGCATTACTGGAAGAACTTAATCTACACACAGACACAGTCAGTGCGAGGTGTTTGGAAAGCCATAAAATTCAAGAAGTCTCTAAGTTTTTCAGGGAGAGACTAGAAAAAGGAAGAGGACTAAGTTTTGGCCAGACTCATAGCCCAAATCCATGAGGTTTGCCTAGTTACACAAGGTATTTTATGACTAGAGTCTTACCACATTGTGTTGGGCCAAACAAACTAGGCTGAGAACCTGCTGATTTCTCCCCTATTCAGAATGAGACAATCCTTACCTGGAGGTTGTTCAGAGGCTCCATTTTCATGACTGGTCCCAGAGTGTTGAGGGGCAGTGAGACATCAATACTTTGGTTTGGCATCAGAGGTGTGTGAATGGCCAAAGGAGTGCTTGGGATGACCCCAAAACTGGGCAAAAGAAAAACAGAGGTGATGAGAGCAGCACTGCAATGCCCAACATCCATTCCCTTTCTGTCAAGCACAACCTGGCTCATCTTCCCATTACTCCTGAGCTGCCCTTGCTGTTACTCCAGGGAAGGAACACAGCTCAAACCAGTAGAAACACAAGGTAGGACAAAGCATGGGAAACTCATTCAAGATGGTCTTGCTGACAACAGGCACCATACTGCCCAGGGGTTCAGCACCTGGGAACTCTCCCATTACTCACACAGCACCGGTCCATGTGCTGAGGAGCAGCCTGCCCAGCAAGGAGCAGCACCCAAACTCAGTTAGGCTCTTGGCATGTTCTTACAGAGCCACGGAGCACTGCGGGTAGAGTATATCACACACTGCATGGCTCTTGTATTCCTGGGAGCTATGGTAGAAGGAACTGGAGCCAAGAGAGAATAGATAGCCAAGGAGGAACATGTGGTTTGTAACAGCACTGCAGAACAAATGAATCAATGCAGCCAGCTGTCTGGTCCCACATGGCAGTGCCTGGCTCAGCCACTTGGATGGAGGCTCCTTCAGCTGGGGATGTATCCCAACCACTGCAAAGCAATGCTTACTTGCCCATTCAATCCAAGAGGCATTTAATTCCACATGCACCCCTATTTAGTGTGGAGAAGAGGGAAAGCAGCTAACATTTAACACAGCACTTCTGAGCTGTGTACCAGCTGCTTTCCAAAAGCAGATGGAAGTGCAGATGCTTTGGTGTCCACTCGTAAATGCATTTCTCTTTTGCACAATATTTGCTCAGAGGTCAGGAAGCATTTACAGGAACAAAGATATATAGGTGTGTACCTTTATTTCATTCACTAAAAACCTGACAGTGCCTCTGCACAGAGTCAGCTATGTGTATTGGGTCTGTCACTCTTCCAGATACAGGTGGGTGCCCTGTTCTTGGTTCTCCTTAGTTTTCAGCTCTAGGGAGCTGAAATAAGAATATCCTCAGCAAGGGCTTAGTCACATGATTTGCCTTCTGCAGCCACTTCACTTTGGAGGAACAAACCCTCATGTTTTTCCTAAGACTCAGAGGGAAACCAAACTTGCAGTATGTTAATAAGGGGCTTTGATATTACAGCACACTAGAGCTTTGGCTTTCTTTCATTTTATTTTTTAATGCTTTATCCCAAGACTGCAATGAAGGTGATTAGTAGCAGCAGGAGAGAGGAGGAAAAGCAATAGAAACTTTCCAATCACAAACCTTAATATTTATACCTAAGAACCAGCCCTCTGCAGCTCTTTCCAATGCACCAAGCACAATGGAAAGCAGAGACAGGAGAACAGTATTTATAGAAGAGTAAATAGTAGTAGATTGTATATGCAGTGTGTGTTGATACGTTGCAAGAGGAAAAACTGCTGGTTTACTGTACAGTATTTAAACTTATATCCTTGAAGTACCACGTAGGTGTGGCTAAAACACAGCTTGATGTATGGGGAAAAAAATCACCAACAAAATGGCTTTTTTCCTAGGCCAATTTGCATGAAACATTTGCATACAGCAGCTTAGCAAAATTCTCCAGAAAATATAGCAGTCCAGGGAGAACATTTAGTAAGACTTACTTAGCATAATGTCTTTTCTAAGTAAATCTTATTCGTCCCAAGAAATCCTAAATTTGCAAGGCTAACAGTGATATTAAAGAGATGGCTTCAGTGGATCCTCAGTAGAGAGAGTCCATTTCCAGTGAAGTGATATTAAGATACATGGAGAACTTTTCAGTCACAAGATGCTCTTTAGAGTCTTGGTAAGAACTAGCCTGGACCTTGCTCAAGATAACATATAGCAAACCACAGGATAAGCTCTCTGACTGGGAAGGCTATTTGTGGGAAGACACCAGGGCTGTACTGCCATGTCATGTCCTTTGGCTGAGACAGGTTTTTGAGAACAATCTGTATGCTCCAAACATTCAAGAGGCTGCTCCTTCTGACAAAATTGCTCTGCTGCCAATTACAGGGAAAACATGTGCCACAGGCTCTTAACTTGCAACTTCTTCACTGACAAACAGCTTTATTAATGAGACCTGTACTTCCAGACAATCTGAGGGGCAGCACAGCAATTAAGTCAGGAGGCAGAGGCAGTATGGGTTGATACTTGTGCTGCTCAAATCTTGCCTGTTTAATGCTCTTACTTTTCTCAGGGCACTTACTGGCTATAAAACCACTAACCTGCCTAACAACTCATGAGGCTGCTTTAAATCTCCACAGAGATTAAGTGGGGCAGGTGCTGTTTCAGAGCTGGGAGAATGATGGGACCGTCTGCTGCCTGTTTCCTCTCAGATTTATCAGTCTATATTTTCAGCTCCTTTCACACAACTGTGGTGTGATGGAGAGTTCAGGCTGTACCATCCACCTATTTCCATGACTGTGTTATACACCTACATAAAAGCTTACCCTAGATCTAGCACTGTAGACAAACTCCTTTCACAGGAGCATGAAGTCTTTTGAACACAGTGCATTGATTTTGATTTCTTACCTGTTCTTATTGAACTGAATGGCAAAGTCAGTCATATGCTGCAAAGCCTTATTGGTAAAGTTCATCTCCATGTAGATGTGTCCCTGTCTGTGACTGAACGTGCCTGAGATCTCCAATCCTTTAGCCTTCACTGCAGGCAACCAAACCTTGAACACAAGAGATGTCACTCAGCATGAGCAGTGTGGCCTGAAGATAGACAAACATGCAGAGTTTTCCAAAAACCAAAAGTCCTGAGTTCAGAAAACAGCTACATCGGCACATTAAGCCCACAAAGGCTAAAGAAACACTACAGGGAAGATGGGACATGGGGTGTTGAAAGGATCAAGCTCACCAATGAGGAATAAGCTTGCTGCTCCTAATCTGTATTTGTTCACAGCACTCACATAGGAAATCAAATATACTACAGCATTAGTGTGCACAAGAACAGTGCAAGCTTGTGTCCATCACACTAACACGAGACTTACCGAGTCTGCTGAGGACAGGCTTCTCCAAGGCCTTGTTGGGCTATTAGAGGCAGGACAACACTCAAGTTTGAACCAAATAAAATCACAGGGCTATTAGCTGTTCAGGTTCTGGATTCCCAAGTTACCTTTGTGGGAAAAACCCAGACCCAAATCTGAGTAGTGCAAAATGAAGTAGTACTTAGCACAAAATTCCAGGGTTCCTTTGTACTTTGTTGTATATATGGTGTAACTCTTGAAAGGGCTGAAAGCTTTGAGCTCTGCAGTACCTTGAGATCCTCCATTTCATAGGATAACTCAAGTTTATTCATTCATGGACTATTTAATAAGAGCACTAATTTTTTCTGTTTCCTTTCAGGCCTGAAAGGCTAACCCTGAGCTCTCTCTGGCTGCTCCACAGCCTGTTTTCAGAACCATGCCCTGTGTCTCAGGAACCCTCCCGACTAAGCAATGCTTCAGCCGATGCATCTGCGATCTCCTTCGCTAGCAGAGCATTTATCTGCATTACACTGCGGCATGCTCATCCCAATCACATGATTTCATCTTCACTGTCACGTTGGATTCCTCCAAATAAACAAATCTGCTATGAAAGTTGTTGCAAATTGTATCTTGCCCTCAGTTTCCTGGGGAATCTTGCTAAGAAGTAGGTCTCCAGGAAAGCTGCTCTGACAAAACAGAGTCTCAGCTCTTGTATAAGCCATTCCTTAGAGTAATGTTGTTACAGGCGAAATGAAGGAGCTGCTAAAATACCAGAAGTCTGTAACTAATAACTAACAGAGTCTCCAACACATTGTTACTCTGCCTGGGAAAAACCCAGAGCATCCCTTAATGGCACAGGTGAACTAAGGTACCCCCACAGAATCAGAGACCCAGAGTAAGGGGACAAGTGAGCCACCTGAGACTTCTTATAGCCCAAGGCAAGGCAACCTACTGAGGATGATTGTTTTTCCTTACGTACAGACTTGGGAGCCACATATCCTCCTGGAGCCATGCCTATACCAGATGAGAGCTCAAAGAGATCGTTGAGTCCACTGCTGACCACAGCTGGGGTGGGCGAGGGGGCAAAGGTGGCTGGCACAGAGGAGGGAATGTAGGTCTGTCCCACCTGGAGGGGTCAGAAAGAACAAGGGCTGGTTAACATCACATATGAACACTACTTATTAAATAAAGCATGAACTCGGGCAATATCCTAAATATTTTAAAGCCATTTGCAGCTTCCCCACTGATTTATCAATAGTGTTGAATTATGCATTTGAATTCCAAAGCTTTTGGCAACTAATCCCTACACTCGACTGACACCTCAACCAAGCTTTCACATCATATTTTATAGCTCCACTTATCTATTCCCACTGGGATCTTTCTTCTCCATCTCTCCTTCTCCTAAGACAATATGTTTTGTGGATCTACCCTACACAAACCCAGGGAAAAGAAAAAAAAGGCTTCAAATCTTCCCCCAACTACGTCAGCCTTCAGGAATCTGCAAGATTTTGCATATCCAGAGATAGCAAGGGAGTCATGACCGTATTGTGTACTCCTACCCAAGCCAGAGCTTCTCATCCTCAGCACTGTGGTCCAAGAGGTTCATTACAAGAAGCACAACTAGCTGTCTCTGTCTGCCAGAGGACAACTATCCTGCAAGAAGGGCAATCCTCCTTCCCTCTCAGAGCTTAAATGAGGGCACCAAACCTGGAATATTAATTTTTACATGCCTAGCTCCAGGTAGGACAGTCACACTCAAGTTAGACTCCCAAGTTCTCTTCTTTACTCTGAGCAAGAGGAACTATGTGCTTGAGAGCAGGATTCTCCAGTCAGCAGCCCAGAAACAGGCAGAATGACTAAGGCAGAACTGCTTGGTGTGTTCTTGCTGGCCCAGGAAGGCAGAGACCTGGATTTGTAGGCATGATCACTAGAGGGTAAGTATCTCCCATATCCTGCTGTGCATTGCCTGGGGGCTACAGGTGTGCTGTACCACTGGCTCTCCTCTGCCCTCATGCTGAAGTCAGAAAGGAATGCTAGATTCACAGGGAAGGGAGGAGAGAGAATGACTGCAGCCATAACAAGGGGCTCTGCAAAGCCCTCACTCGAGGACTGAGTATGCTTTCCTCACTGAATTACTGGATACACAGTCCTGGGAAGAGGGACTGGAGCTTTCTAGGGGACACTACTTTTGTCTGTGGGTTGGAAGCACACTCCCTCCTGCCCACTGCATCTCCAAGTCATCCTGCATTCATTTCCCATGGTTTCCTGGAAGAAGCTGGTATGTGGCTGAAGCCTTTGGAAGCAGGCTAGAAGTCTCCCATGTCCTGGCAAGCGCTGTAGGCACTAGGACACTCACGAAGCACAGGCACAGAGGAGGTGGCTGGTGGCAGCACTGACCACGTGTAGTAGGAAAGTTCAGAGCACCTGATCCTGATGTCCAGAAAAAAAAAAATCTTCTGTGGGGCTTGTGGGGGAGAAAACCACTGAGTTCAGAGAAGCCTGTGGTGACACTGGGTTAGGGTTACAACAGAACAGGCTTTGTGTGGAGACAGGTAAGCATCCTTGGCCTTCCAGGTGCCAAAGCAGTTGCACAAGGATGAGGTACTGCCAGTGTTAACACTAACTAAAAGCTCTGAGAAAGAAGAGCTAAGCAGATAGAGTGAACAGCTCTGGCCTTGGCTGCTCTTAGGAAAGCCCAGGTGATAGTTGGACTCAAAGCAACATAGGTGGGGACCTGTGTGTTTCAGTTGCATTTGTCCATTTTCAAACATCTTCAGGGACTTAAAGCATCTTCCAGCACATAACAGGTAAGGTTAGATTTAAAACCCTGAGCTTTGAGCAGCTTTTGAAATTGGGGAAAAAAACAGAATGGCACTTACTGCCGGGCTTCCTCCAATGCCCCCTCCAAGGTCACTGCCAAGCTGAAAGAGAGAAGGAGAGAGAGGAGAGAAGGACCAAGATCATTTAAGCCAAGTGTCAGCTGGCCGGAGCGGAGCGCGGTCGCCCACACCGCAGTGAGCGCGGCTCGCTTGCTGCATACAGGACAGACAGAAATGCAGTGCTGGGAAAGCACAGGGAACAGAGGGGCTTTTTGCTGTTGTGTGAGCAGAGCGACTTGGAGAAGTATCCCACATATTTCCTGTGGACAGGAGTGGTTTGCAGGTTAACAAGACCAAAAATTCATCCCTCCTTGTGCCTGTCATCTGCGCCAAACCTCAGTGCTATTTCTTCACGTTTCATGCATCAGTGCTTTCCCTTCAGCCCACCATGCTGGCTGCCAGCAGGCCCCAGCAGCTCCACAAAACCCGGTGGGGTAACTGTGAAATGGAATAAAAATAAAACTGACAGGAAGCTCACTTCCTGAAAGCTTTCGTTTTCTAGGGAACAGCTATGAACTATGGGCAAACACAATACATCTTGGCTGTGTTCCTCTGACATGCAGCTCTTTTCACTAACAAGGAAGAAAGAGAACGGGATATGTGCTGGCTATTACAACAGCTCACATAGGTGGGCTTTGCCTTCCCTTTGAAGATGCTCCCCTCCCTCAGACAGGAAAAAAGCAGCTTCATGATCTAATGGGCACCCCAGCAGTAAAGAGACCTCACAGTGCACCAGGCTATTTCAGAAACAATCTCTGCCAAGTTACACAGCTACAGTCTGAAGTGACTGAAACAGCCGCCGGGTACCACCCGCACAACACTCCGTCAACACTCAATTCTCTCTCGGGCCCTTCCATCAAACCCTCCCGCAGCCCACCTAGAAGCTGTCCTACCCCAAACTCCCTTGAGAAAGCATCCAGGCTACTTCTCCATGCCAAAGCCCATTTTTCAAACATCTACACCATTCTGCACGCTCGAGAGGATTCAGTGATCAGGACAGGCTCCAGAGCTGGCTACAAGCACTGTTTGCGTGTACAACATCGCTCCTGTGAATATTTAAAAGCACTCAGCAGATGACTGATGGCCAGGAGGAAACAAGCAAGTATCTGCAGCAGTTAACTCGCTACAGACACATCTCCAGGCTTATCTGTGTCCTAGGCTTTTCTTCAGAAGATCAGGGTAATTTTTTACCTAGCACAGGGGTTTTTTTGGGAGTCACATTGAGACAAGGAACATGACCTGGCAACATGCATAAAGGACAGTGCAAGAGCAGGGGTGAGGTAGGAGCCAGCCACGTTAGGAAAAGGCTGAACTGGCAGACCAGAACATCACAGTTCACCTTTGATTAGGGTTTGGGGAGTTAGTTTGCTTTTTAAAAAAGCACATGACAAACTGGGTCGACAAAAGCTCTAGACATGTTGTTCAAATATCCACCAATGTGTCGAGATGTTGAATAAATACACTATATAGCTAAAGCAAAAGCTCTCAGGAGTGCCTCTGCTTAGAATCAAAAGGGCTCCAACCTTTTCCCTCTGCACAAAGGACTTGGAAATTCAACTTTGTTCTGGTCCCTGCCAGTCTGTTCCCTGGAAGATATCATGGCAAGTATCTTTTACACTGGTCAAGAGATACCATAAATCTTCATAGCTCTCTCCATCAGAACACAGATAAAAGGACAAATTGCCCTGAGAACAGCAGCAAAGTTGAGAGACAGTGACTTACCAGATGATAACCAGCCTCCATAAAACCTGTAAAATCTGACAAATCCCTGTACTAATCTGGATCTCTTTTCTATCCCCTGGCACCTCTCCTTCCCAGCCACCTGATGCGATATTAGCCACCATAAGAAGGTGTTAGATAAGTACAGATCACACCATTTGCTTTTTGTTAAGAAGCCTCAAGAGCTTTTTTCCCTGTGTGGGACTCAGTTTATCCCTACTTGAGGCCATGGCAGAAGTTTATAGAAGATTCCTCATCCTCTGCAACAGCAACTCAGGCTCTTGCTGTCCAGTTTTCCTTGGCTTACTTAAGAGATAACAGATAGTACTAAGTGATTCCAAAGTCAAAAAAGAAGGATCAGCCACAGACCAAAGGAAGCCAGCCAGAGGATGCAAATCCAATTAATACTGAGCTTATAAAATAAGGCTTATTACACTGTCAAGTCTCCCCCACTGAAACAGCCTGGCAGAGCAGAGTTTTGTTCTATCGACTGCTAAACCAAGCAGTGATTTAGATTAATATATCAGATCATTTACATCTTGTTACTGGCTCACTGACGAGTAATAAATGCAACTATTACACCTCATCCCTATTCATAGTCTTGCTTGCAGATGAACCTCATGCTTTACCCTGACAGGCAGTGAGGTCTGGGAGAAAAGGAAAGAATCCAGTTCATTCCCAGGTGTTATTGTATGCATGGAGGGTTTCTGGTGCTGCTGTCTGAAGCAGGAGAAAGCCTGGTTTATCAAGCACCAAGCATTTCACAAAGGGTATTATGGAAATGACTGAATAATTCTGCATAATCAAGCCAGATGTTAACTATTCTACCATTTCCTACTACACTCATCTGAAGAAGCTGCAGGCTAGGAATCCAACCTCGAAGAAGCTTGTACACTGGTATCTGCAAGCACTTGCTGTGAGGGGGAGAAGGAATGACATATTGGGGTTCCTCAAGCTATCCACAAGTCTTCCATTTTCCCCAAATGTCAGGCCTTAAGGGAAAAGCAGAATTTGGATTTATTGGTTGAGTCCAGACTCCATCTCTCACCCCCTACAAGGAGGGGAAAAAATCACCTCACTGGCTCAGAGAATTTACCACAAGCTCCTTATGTTTCCGGATTGTGCCAAACATTTCTGCTTTGTGCTAGAAAAGATCTCTTTCCAATAACAGGAAGCTCTGACCTCCTCAAGCCTCCCTACTCACCAGAGGGCTCTGCACACTGCAGCCTGTGCCTCTCCTGGCTCCTGTGCTCGGGCCCAAGCACTGCAGATGTGCTATGGAGCCGCAGAGCGAGCGCCAAGGAGCTGGCAGCTCCTCCAGGTCCCTACGGGCAGGGCTGGCTCTACCTACAAAGTGAAAAGAGATGTGACAGCCTATCTACTGCAATAGAAGTTAAAGGGAGAAAGTTAATAAAGATTTTATCAGTTCCACATCAGATCCAAGGTGCACTGTCCATTGCAGCAATGCAGAAGTCCCTTTTGCCAATTTTCTTGCCTGTCACCCTCCCATGGCACTGATTCTTTCCCCACTCAGAAACTACAGGTGTGGCTTACCCCATCCTCCTGCAAGATGCCCAAAGCCTAACTTTATACCAAACTGAGAATGATGGAAGAGATGGTAACAGTGACGTGTATGAGTAAGAGGGAAGAAGGAAGACAGAGGGAACAGGAACCAATTACCCACGGAGTGTCCTCTCCCATCTGGAGTGACAGGCAGAGTGCAGAAGGAAAGAAGCAGATATTAGTCAGGCGTGAAGTGCTGCTGAAGCAATTCCCCAGGCCTGGCAGCTTTAGTTAACCATTTACACTCATCTCATGGGCAGACATTCTGACAGAAGGACAACCTGGACCTGCCTTACAGGAGAGCAGGCAACAGCCTTGCGGAGAAGAGGACCATGTAATACAGTTGTCAGCCCCACTCAGGCTGAAACACTTGCTAGGAAGGTGGGGTGGACAAAGGCTGCCACTTGATGGCCAAGAGCAACTCTCAGCCCTCCAAAGCCCTGATCCTGAGCCCAAAGTTGGCAGCCTTGCCTCTTGCTCAAGAGCACAAATCCTCTGTCCTGGATGAAGAGCTGCCAGCTTCAGGAGATGAGCAGGGGACGAACAGGGAGTCTCAGCCCCCAAAAGCACAACGTTACTCAAACTCTCTTTACTCCCTTGAAATCCATCTTGCCATGACAGCATCCAAGCAGACACATGGGTTTAAAGAAGAGGTTGGGCTCAAACCTGTATCAATAAAACCAGGACTAGCAGCTCTTCCCACATCACACCAGCACCCTTACTTGTGTACGAGCTGGCCTGGGCAGTGTTGCAGGTGCTCTGCAGTTGGAGAGCCTTTGCCCTGTAATTCCAGCTCCATGGAAGCAGTTATGCTGACTTATGAAGTGCAGCAGTGCTGGAGTTACTGCATTAGGAGGGTTTATTTGCATCAACAGCAGCTTGTAATGAAGTGCCTCTGCCGAAGTGTTCATGTGATCCAGAGGGGTTACAATCACTTCTGCAAAATGACGTGAGGCTTTTGGAGCACCAAAAAATAACAGGGAGGGTGGAGCCAGGGACAGAAGCTGCAACAACCACCGCTCAGCAACTGCTTTGCCTTCCACCCACAGCACAGCCAGGGCTTTCAGGGCAGGTGTGCATTTCATGCACCATAATTCATGGGTTAACAGGGGACAGTTGCTGCCTCCTCCCTCTCTCCCTCACACCCCAAACCAAGAGTCAAGCACCACAGCTCAAGGAGCTGGATGTGAGCCTGCACTCAGTAACACAGCAGCAAGGAACAACAAGGCATTTACCTAACCAGAATCAGGTCCTGGAGCTGTCCAAGATGCTGAGAGCACAGCTGCTAGAAGGTCACTTGATCCAGCCTAATCCTGTTGGAGACATCTGAACTGCAGGATGGACCATGCAGGGGCTGCATTTCCTGACAGGCTGTAGAGATCTCACTGCAGATGCCACTGTGGCTTGCAGAGGCATTTTCAGTACCTCATTTGCTGCCTATTTTGTGTGTCTGTTTCCATATCCCCAAGTCAGGCTTGCAGAGCAGATGAGTTGCTCTCCAAACTGGAGACTGCTCTCCAGACTGGAGACAACTGTGTCAAAGGTGCTGGAGGACAGGTCATGCTGCCAACACCATGGTCACTGGTTTCACTGCACTTACTGCTAATGCTCTACCTGGCTGAAAAGATTTCCATCAGCAAACAAAACTGAGTACTGACCATTTTCATTTTCCAAAGTGTAAAAAGGCAGCTCACAGAGCTCTAGCAGTCCTGTGACTGCTACAACAACAGCCTTAAATCAGACATGAATGAGTGACTCAC